TCAACATCTTTTTTTACATCGTGGTGACCAAAACTGAATGCAGGATTCCAAGGGTGGCCTCACCAAGGCATTATAAAGTGGTATCAACCCTTCACGGGATCTTGATTCTCTCCCTCTGTTTCTGCAGCCTAGAACTGTGTTGGCTTTTTTGGCAGCTGCTGCACGCGGCTGGCTCCTATTTAAGTGGTTGTCCACTGGGACTATCTCCTAGATATCCAACCTTGGTTACTTGGAAGATGTGTGGAGTTCAACTCCCAGAATTCTGGGAATTGAAGTCCACATGCTTTGCAAGTGGCCAAATTAAAAAGCATGGGTTTTTAAAGAGGCTCCCTGCCCTGAACAGGGTTGGACTAGATGGCCTTTAAGTGCCCAACTTGTCTATTCTCGGTTTGGGAAAATGGGGTGGGTGGAAACCTCCCCTGCGCTCCCCCCCCCCGGCTTCTCCCATTATCTACGCCCAATACGCCAATGAGGACCCAGATTGTTGGGGGCAATATGCTGACTCTCTGTAAACCGCTTAGAGAGGCCTGAAAGCCCCATGAAGCGGTATATAAGTCTACTGCTATTGCTATTGCTATTGCTATCCTCTCCCGCTCCCCCCCAAAGGCGGCTAGTTCCTACCGTCCATGAAACCTGTCCCCCCCCCGGCTCGCACTCACCGGACAGCGCAGCCATCGCCGCGTCTCCCTCCCCTCCCCCGCAGCCCTTCAAGGCACCCCTGCTGGCTGCGGGCAAGGACAGGCGGTGCACCTTCCCCGCCGCTCCGGGTTGGAACCGGAGCCGCCTTGCCGCGCGTTCCGGCAAGAGTAGAGCGCCGGCGTCGGTGGTGCCCCCTGGCGGCGGCTGAGAGAAGATACACCGCGTGCGTGGAAGGCTCTTCTTTCTTTTAACCTGCCTCTTTTAATTCACTTTTTATTTCTTCCCTTCTTCCTGTTCATTCATTTCCCCCACCCCCTTTGCTTGATCCGGTCTTCCTTTCCTCCCTCTTTTTTTTTCCTTTCTAATTCTTTTCTCTTGTTTCCTCCTTCCTTTCTGCCTTTGGCTTTCCCATTTGGCCTCTTTTCACCCTTGGATTCATTTAATTCATTCATAATTCATTCATAATTCATTCAATTCAATTAATACTGACTGGGTGGATCAGAAAGGTCTGCAGTTCTGTGCTTTGAATCCCTAGTACGGGTCTCCCGCGGGAGCAGTGGGTTGGACTAGATGACCTCCAAGGTCCCTTCCAACTCTGTTACTGTTTATTTGTTCTAATTTTCTCCTCCTTTCTTTTCCTAGAAATTAGACTAACTTTATTGTCGCTTTGAAGCTACCCTAATTGGCATGCATTAAAATGAAATGTCATTGCATACAGCTCTCAAAGGGTCTCCACCACCAACATACACTACATAAAAAATGACAAAATAAATTATTTACAATACAAAAGTATGCATATAGCCACATATATTGTATGACACAGAGAAACAACACAGTCTAGTTCAGGGGTGTCAAACTCTATTTTATGGAGGGACAGATCAGGGTTGTGTTTGACCTCAGGGTGGCCGTGGCCAACTCAACATCACTGGTCGGGAACCCCTGTGGTGGGCCAAGCACTGTGCCAGAGAAAATGGGCTCCCAAGCTCCGTTTCCGGCTGCAACAGCCTCTTGTAATCCTCTGCCAGTGAAAATGGAGGTCGGGAAGACTGGCAGAGGCACCACAGGCCAATCCTTCACTGTTTCTAGGGTGGATCTAAGCACCCCGTGGCCGGATCCGGCCCCCGGACCTTGAGTTTGACACCCCTAATCTAGTTCATATCAGAGGTGGTGTTCAGCAGGTTCTGACCCATTCTGGAGAACTGATAGTGGAAATTTTGAGTAGTTCAGAGAACCGGTAAATACCGCCTCTGATTGGCCCCGCTCCCATCTATTCTCTGCCTCCTGAGTCCCAGCTGATTGGGAGGGAATGGGGATTTTGCAATATCCTTTCCCCTGCCACGCCCGCCAAGCCACGCCCGCAGAACCAGTAGTAAAAAAAATGTGAATCTCACCACTGGTTTGTATGTCCATAGTGGGAATTCTCCTTCTCACTCTCATCCATTTCCCCTTTTCTTTCTACTAAATCCACAACTCTCAAAAGAGTTTTTTCAGGAAAGCCGTTATTTAATTGGACTGAACAATTAAGCTTTGGGGAGCCCCCTGCACCCCTTCCCGCCCCACGTTTGCTTTGCAAATTATTTTCTCCTCCCTCTTTCTCCTCAATCTCAAGCCCTTTAAAGGTTTGTGGACTTCAACTCCCAGAATTCCCCTCCACTTGAGGGGGGGGGTAAATTCTGGGCCTTGAGGTTCCCATATCTTGAAGTGCTTGAGGTTGAGAAAGACTGCTCTGGGTGGATCTTCTCTGTCATTTTAAGAGCTCAGCAAATGAATTAAGTCTCTTTCTTTGCTCCAATTCTCAAAGATGGGGCAGCTGGAGGGACTGCATTCAGAAGAATGGATTTTTCCCTAAATCCTTGCTCCTCTTGTGACGCCATTGTGGCCATCTTGGCTACGGGCAGAAGGCTGATTGCCCTCCCAGCATCTTTGCTGAAATCCGTTCATTTTTTCCCCTCTCTTTCATTCTTGCCCGGAAAAGTAACTGCGTTGATTACAAGTCTGCAAGGCATGTTAAAATAAACAGGGGGGAAAAAAAGAACAGCCTGCGTCCCTGGGTGGGCTCGAACCACCAACCTTTCGGTTAACAGCCGAACGCGCTAACCGATTGCGCCACAGAGACCAAGCTGCTTCCAGCTCTTCTGCCAGGACTCTTAAGGAGGAGGATGCAATACTGGACGCTGAACAAGAATGCAAGTGTAACGGAGTATGAAAATAGATCGTGCCTTGGAACGTTTCCTTCCTCCCTTTCTTTTTTTCTCTTCCTTCCTTCTTCCCTTCTCTTCCCCTTTCTTTCTTTCTTTCTTTCTTTNGTATCGTATCGTATCGTATCGTATCGTATCGTATCGTATCGTATCGATTCAGGCAAGCTATGCATGGGAAACCTTCCCTCTTCCCTCATGCTCACAATTCTAGGAGTTGAAAGTCAGACAGGCTTTAATTTTTCACTGTCTGCTCACTTGCGATGACCAGGCTTCCTTGAGAGGGGGCTTGAAATCAGCCTCTCCTCACTCATTCCCATCCCAATAAAATAGAAAAGAGAATGGGGTTCTTTGATTGTCCTAGTGCAGCCTTTTCCTGCTCTTTCTTTGAGGGAGGAGTGGTTTCGATGCTGAGAAAAAGATGCATTTCTGCCTGGTTTTGAACCAGGAACCTTTTGCATGTGAGGTAAATGTGATAACCACTACACCACAGAAACCACAGATATGTGCTGTTCTCAACCAGCATGCCCATATCTCTTGCTGGCCATCTGAGCCTGATATCAATAGCATCAGAGGTTTGAAGGAAGTGTTATTCTTTAAGTTTCCTCCCCCTTTTCCATTCTGGAAGGTAAAAAAAACACAATACAAATATTTAAATCCAGTGAGAAAAAGCATGGACAGTGTGGGAATCAAAGCCTACAGACTTAGGCTCATGCCATCAAGCAGGTTGTCCCTGGGTGGGTTTGAACCACTATCCTCCTGGTTAACAGCCAGCTGCACTAACCTCTTGTGCCACAGGGCACAGGGATTGGTATCAGCCTCCCTCAATCAGGAGATGTATCCCTGGTGCCAGGGCACCGGGTTTTTTGGCTTTTGTAGGAAGTTAAAACCCACCCCTCTCTTAGGAAAATGAAATATCCTGGGAAATATTGAAAAGGCAGAATATTATATCTCCCTGGATAAGAAATGAGGAACATGTTTTTAGGCAGGAAACAGGCTCACTCTTAATAGCCCCCACCTTTGTCAATGACCCGTTAAAGCCAGAGGTAGTCTACTCTACATAACAAAGATAGGATTAATCCTCCACAGAAACTCACTACAAGGCACCTGGGAAAATTACATTAGTCAGCAAGGCAACCAAACCTGGACTCCAAACACAGCCTACAGAGTTGCCCCTGCATGGCCCCATGGGAGTCTGACAACCAACCAGAATACAAGATCGAGATCAAAGGCCAGAGAGGGCATAAAACCACGGACTTTCAGCATCTCGGCCCTTTTTTTTTTCTTTACCTAACATCTTGACGTGTGTGATCACCTTTTCTGTTCAGGAACCCAAGCCATTTGATCCTGTCCCCCATTAAACCATCTTTCCAAGCAGCCTCCATGTTTCCAGTGTCTTTTTTCCCCACTTGGAGCCGAACCCAGGACATTTCTTCCAACAATAGAGTGGCTATTTTTCTCCCATGGAAAACAAAATCTGGGATGAAACCTAGAAGGGATTGTTCTTATACTACAATGGTATAAGGCACTGTGTCTTCTGATCAACATATCTTATTGCTGTCTCTCCAGCCTCAGCTACAGATGCTCAGGTGGAGGGAGCTGAGGCAGAGGTCTGTGCCAGGTCTCTGTGGCGCAATGGGTTAGCGCGTCTGGCTGTTAACCAGAAGGATGGTGGTTCGAGCCCACCCAGGG